CAGTGTGTATACAATACAGCCCAACGACCAGACGTCCACTTCATAGCTGTGGCCCTTTTTGAAGAGCACTTCGGGCGCGATATAGTTAGGAGTGCCGCAGAGCGTCAGTTTGCGGTCGCCTTCGCACGCAATCCTTGTGGCCAAACCGAAGTCTCCCACTTTGATCTCCATGTTGTCGTTGAGGAACAGATTGCCTAACTTGAGATCCCTGTGCACTATCCGGTTGTCGTGCAAATACCGGCACGCGTTGGCAATCTGTCGCACGTAATACCGCACCTCAGACTCCGCCAGTGTTTTACGCCTTTTATGCATTTCCATCAACGACTGCAGAGTTCATTGCATTCAAACAAAACCATACAAACCATAAGTTAGAAACGCTTTGCCATACATTTCACGCAAATCATGACAACAATAAAAAGAGGGAAGACTCACTCGTTTGCTGCAGAGCTCCAGAATTATATAAATGAAATCCTTGTCCTCGAAGAATGTGACGAACTCGACCACGTGCTGGTGTTTTATCGATCGGTGGATTGTTATCTCTTGAGTCATCTGATAGTCGGGCAAACAGTTATACAGTTATAGAGATAAGGATCTAATCGGTGGTAATTAAAACGGTTCTCTTTGGAGACATACCTTTTCCTTTTGGTCGGGTTTAACGAGTTGTGACTTTGCGATCACTTTTCCCGCATAAATGGTTCCGTCGGATGTGTCGATCAATTCATAGCATTTGGCGAAACCTCCCTATAAGTGGACAACAAAATGCATACAATTTCAGGGATCAGTTGGTGGTGACAATCGGGTGGTCAACGGCCGCAACACATACCCGTCCCAAGAATTTTCCCTTTCGGTACTTGCGGTTGGTCTTCGTGTCGCAGACCAGATCCGGTATATCGATCTTCGCGATGTCATTACGGCGAGACATTGTCCACAACTCTGGCGGCGATTACAACGACAATAAAAGCGGTAAAAAGTGGCCACAAATGGACGTAAAAGACAATCAAATGTTATAATAAAAGAGTAGTTTTTCAAAACACAACGACTTTTAAACTTTTGAAATCACATTCACTTTGAATGAGAGATGAGTTGAATGAGAGAGAAGTGGAGAGGAAAAGACGGTTACAATACGACCGCTGTTTAAAAGTCTGGGTAAATGACTGTAAGACTCAATGTTTCAAAAAACTGTTGCACTCTTTAAACGAGTTTTTGAATTTTGTGCACAAACTTCACACAACTCTTCATATGATTCAACCATACAATGACTCACAGCCTCTCACACTCTCTCACAGCCTATTGTCAAACACTCGTGAACTCAGACACTGGGAGTCCAATCACAGCCCACACAATGTCTATGAACTCAACGAACCAGTGATGGACTGTAGGGTTGGAGTGAGTGTTGGGTTTGAGTCAACGGACAACAAGTATTTCAAATATTTAAATCTCGTTCGCGTCTCAAACGGCGCATGCGTTCAGTGTTTAAAGGTTTTTGAACGCCAGTCGAGGCGTTGCCATAGAAACGGACGCCTATTTGGCAACAATACGAGCGGACATTATTTGTGGCCAAAACTGATTGAATGCTTTTCAATGCATAACACGTTTTGATGGCAAGCATTGCCTCAATATTATTAAACGCAACGCTATTTTTAAACACATGTTTTTCCCCTAAATTTAGTCCCAAATTAAGACCTGAAATGAGTTTTGATTTCATAATTGATGTGTTGTTGTGTTGAGAGTCCTATTGTATTGTCAGTGCCTCTCATTGTTGTTCACATTCTCGCAAACATATGATTATATTTTGCTATTAAATGACACTTTGCTTTGAAGACCAGTTTTTGTCAGTTTTTAGGCCACAAATGCTTTGATAATTGGTCTCAAATAAAGTGATGATAATTACTCTCTAAGTGTTGTATTGTATTGTGTTTTTTGGCATTAAATATACGGACAAAATATGGATAAAAATAGTGACAAACAATTGAATGACACGAAAGTGGTTCACAAGAAGAAGAAAAGATATATAATTACTCTCTAAGTGTTGTATTGTATTGTGTTTTTTGGCATTAAATATACGGACAAAATATGGATAAAAATAGTGACAAACAATTGAATGACACGAAAGTGGTTCACAAGAAGAAGAAAAGATACCCGAAGAGACCCCCGAAGACTATCTGCAAATACCCTCAAGACGTGAAGGATATGTCCGCCAATTGGAAGCGTTTGTCTCAAGAACTGAACCAAAATAAACAAAAGAGTAATAATAAAAGTTATAATAAAAGCGCTGATAAAAAGATGACACAAAACAAGAGTCTCTCTTATAATGAAATACAAAGAAAAGTAAACGAAAAGAAGTCATCGGACGAGAAGAATAAGATTTGGTTCGACGGCGTCGACAAGTGTCTCATTAAGTCATCGATGGCCGACTCAAAGGTCACCGACAGTGAGCCAAACGACAAGAGACTCGTCAAAGAGAAGAGTTTCACGGGTTTGACAAAAGTTGTGGGAATGGACTGCGAAATGGTTGGGACGGGTAGTGATGGCACTCAGTCAGTGTTGGCCCGCATATCAATTGTCAATTTCTTCGGTCATTGTGTTTACGATAAATATGTGAAATCAATAGAAGAGATCACAGATTACAGGACAGAGTTTAGTGGTATTAGACCTTCAGATTTAGTGAATGCCATCGACTTTAAGACCGTTCAGTCAGAAGTATTGAATGACACGAAAGTGGTTCACAAGAAGAAGAAAAGATACCCGAAGAGACCCCCGAAGACTATCTGCAAATACCCTCAAGACGTGAAGGATATGTCCGCCAATTGGAAGCGTTTGTCTCAAGAAATGAGCCAAAATAAACAGAAGAGTAATAATAAAAGTTATAATAAAAGCGCTGATAAAAAGATGACACAAAACAAGAGTCTCTCTTATAATGAAATACAAAGAAAAGTAAATGAAAAGAAGTCATCGGACGAGAAGAATAAGATTTGGTTCGATGGCGTCGACAAGTGTCTCATCAAGTCATCGATGGCCGACTCAAAGGCCACCGACAGTGAGCCAAACGACAAGAGACTCGTCAAAGAGAAGAGTTTCACGGGTTTGACAAAAGTTGTGGGAATGGACTGCGAAATGGTTGGGACGGGTAGTGATGGCACTCATTCAGTGTTGGCCCGCATATCAATTGTCAATTTCTTTCCAGTAACACAAATGCTATTTATACACTTTAGTTATCTTCTCTAGTGTCTAATGTCCTGTCTCAAATCACCATAATCTGGAAGTCTAAATCACTTACGGTAGCTGAAATTCTGGCAAGTCAGTCTTCTGCACCAAATACTGAAAGACAGGACAGTTGTGGGACACGCCATACACAATGACTTTAAGGCATTGCTATTAAGTCATCCGAAGCACAAGACTCGGGACACGAGTCGATACTTTAAGAAACTGTTTGGCGGCCGAAATCCGGCGCTCAAACGTCTCTCGGAAACGGTTTTGGGCGTAAGAGTACAGACGGGAGAACACCTGAGGCATCTCCTGCGCTCCCAACGCTACGCAAACATATGATACAAATCCTTCTTTACCCTTAGTCTCGAGGTATTCTTCTGATAATTTGTGCTTTTTTAGTGAAGTTTTGTTGTTTTTATTAAAACATTGAATATAACTTATCATAAAAATGTTTTCTTTATTCAACATATTTTCATATAATTTATTTGTTGTTAAAATAGATGTTAATTTTTAAATGAATACTTGAAGCGAATAAATCAGATTTTATAGTTAAATGAGTTATTGAATTGTTTCTAAAAAGTTGAATCCATTTTTGACATAAAGTTGTTTATAATTTAATAATGAAATGAAATTGAAAGCGTGAAGAGTTGACTCCGGTTTTGACAGACATTATTGCGGACCTATTTTGACGAACACTTGAGTGAATAGAAAATAAAGAATTATTTAGTATTTAATGATAGAATTTTCAAGAATTAGCATCACTTCTCTCATCGGTGGCATCGGATGGAAGTGTGCTCTTAAGTGAGATCTGATGCAAGTAAAGCCAAGTCATGGCCACCAAAGCAATCACAATAAGCACTGATACGAGCGCTGATGAACTGAAATGCAGAAATAGAACCACTGTTTGAACGAAACATAGAAAAGAGATACAGATTCCGAAGTAGAAGACGCGTTGGAACTGTTCACTAATGGCCGCAAAGATGCCGAATAGACAGACTATCAATTGAATCACATTTTTAACGATTTCAAACATATGTGTCTCGTATATGGCTTTCCTCTGATAGTCAGAATCGCCTA